CAGACTTTGTTTCCCATGGTGGGACATGGCGTGAATGCAGACTTAGCAGTACACGTCAGCTGATAGCGTGACGAACATCACAACGCACGCGTCATAACTAGTTCTTTCGAGATCATCACCACGCGTTTTGCTAAGTCTGCAGTTACGGCATGTGCACCCGATGGAAACGAGTAGTATTTCAAACTCGACACAGACTCTGCACATAAGTAATCCTTGTCCTTTTCCTACGTGCATTCGCCTGAGGTGCGGTTTTTAATGTAAAAGCAGTTCGTGAAATCGATTTTCAAAAGATTACCGAAAGAAGCAACGGCGCTATCGCAAGATAGGAGGGCACTGTGGTGGCAATGCTTTCAAAACCGATCTTTTTTAGGATCGGGGGAGTAAGCTCACGCGAGGAACGACACTCCAGGGTGCGTGAGCAATTTTCATTTTCCCCAAAATTCCTGCTGCCTCCTAGGCTAAGCCTAGAGAATGCAACCGGATGGGCGCACTCATAGTCGGTCATGCGATCGTAACGATCGTAACGATCGTACGTCCAGTCCTCGGACGATCGATGCGTATCTAATGCTGCGCGATCGTTACGATCGGACGACCGACTATGAATGCACCCTATTTTGTGATAGCGCCGAAGTGAGCTACTATATGTCCCTTGAGCTGGCGCGATCCCCTGATGCGAATGTCATCTCTGTCGTTTTCACTGTGAATAGAAATTCCGAATGAATGTGTAAAATGCACGGCGCAATCATCCAACCAAGCCTCAATACATTGATTTCTAACAGAACTTCATTAAAAAAATCACCGAAATAGACACTGATCTCGAAATTTTCAATAACAAAACTAACAAGAGCGATTTATCAGTATGGTTTCCTAGGTGCAGTGGGGCACGCTGTTGAGCACCGGAGCGCGCAAGCCTGCTTCGCCGCGCTGGCGTCGGCCTCGCCGCTTGCGCGACTAGGCGAACACTGCACGAGTCCCTGGCGGCCTCGCATGGGAGCAGGTCCTCACCTGAGGCCGCACTTCCCTGCGGCAGAACCGACGCCTTGCCATACTCCACTTTCTACAGCGATGGCGCTCCGTACAGTTGACGACCACATTCTCGTCGTGGCTCTCGTCGTGGAGGGCGCAGAGAAAACGACGAAAACAAATCGATAACATGTGGCACTGCGCGCCCCACCGCGAACGCGCTTACGGTGGAACCTAGGAAACCATACTGAGAAATCGTTTCTGTACAAAAATAACAGCAACCTACAACAATGAGATTATGGTTGAGTGGTCAATCAACCGCTCGCTGCCCGTTCAGAGTAAGGATATATTACATGCTTCACGAATGCACCGTAGGAAATGAACTTGATGATGTGAGAATAATATCATCATGGTGGAGACCACAGTCTTCTTCCCCTTTACTTAGGTAACTCAGCTCAAGGCACCTTCCACGCTGAAGGGGTATGAGCAGTGAATTTTAGATATGAAGCGGTGGTTAATAACTTCCCAGGGGAAAACAAAGCAAAAGAAACTGGATGAATGTCTCAGAAACGCCTTTTTTGTAGTTCTGATCTCTGCACAAGCATATGGTAGAAAATATTGGGCGCCCGGACGAGAGACCAGACGACAAAGAGACGAGATAGCAGGCAGACGAGCGAGACAGCTGTCAGCGAAAGTGGGCTGACGTCTTTGATAGACAGTTCCGTTCCATAGCACCAACATAATCTCTACGTTACTGGACGAGTCCACCTTTGGAATTCAAGAAATCAGCTCCACTCAAGCGATCATGGAATGACTCTTGAATGATTCCATAGAACAATGGTCAGACGAGTTTCCAATCAAAATGACCACCATAACGATCATCGATGGCCGCAAATTCTGAGGCAATGTCATCACGTTCGTCCATATCGCCGCGCTGAAAGGAACTGACGATTGAAAAGGCATTCGGATATCGATTTTTCGCGCGTTCAATCAATATAAACTGACATCCAACCTCAAACAAAGCGTTCTAGAATGCGGAAAAAAAAACCCAGGAAGAAGTAATATGGTATAATTCACACAAGGCTTCGCAGCTACTACATATAATGAGGATAGTGACGTAGTTAGGCGGCGCATAGGCGCGTCTTGATGAATTCAATACCTCCTTCATCACAACCCACTGTGACGACTACAGTGGTTGCAAAAATGATTTAAATCTACGATTTGGGATTAGGTTCAAAGGGCACGTCTCCTAAAGTGAGGAAAGGAGTCCCAAGCGCAGGAGGCGCGACACTGTCGCGACTCAAAAGTGCGAGGCAACGGCGCTAAGGCCTTGCCTTGTGTGCTGCCGTGCTGCCATCCTTATCAATCGCGGCATACGTGGTCTCTGCGCCCTCTCGCGTACGACGTACTCTCTCGTTTTCCCTCTCCTCGCAGCGCTGTGTCTCTCCGTCATACCACGGCCGGCCTCACAAGGGAAATTTAAAATTTCTTTGCGGCTTTTTCTTTTCCCCACTATAGTTCCTATCTGACCGTCTGATTGGGCGTGTCACCGGAAATGACGTGGCGGCCACCGCACTTGATAGATGTTGTGTGGATAAGATACTCCGCCAGATATCAGCGAAGTATGTTGGAAGCAGCTTATCCGCGCGACTTCTATCAAGTGCGGCGGTCGCCACGTCAGTCCGTAGACCCGCCTAATCAGACGGTCAGATATGAACTGTATGCTCACTGCACTTTTTGCCTAATACTCAAACAAAATTACACACCAATTCGATCCTGACCCGTGGCTTTAATTTGAGCAATCGTACGCCACCAACGCAATCTTAAAGCGACGCAACCGCGTGCGGCGGCTTTCACAATTTTTTAGCATGCTTTCTTGCTTTGCGCTAGTTTGCAATGCGCCTAATGGAGAAATAGTTCGGAAAACGTGGAAAGTGCGAAAAGCGTCAGTATACAAACTGACGTGTGGTGTTTAGCGCGTTATCCGTGTCCCTCTTATCGATCCCTGACAGTAAACGAAGAGCTGAGTAGACACCAACTGCGCGCTAAGCACAATGCGTCAGCTGTATATTGGCGCTCGTCGCCTTTTCCGTATCTTTCACAACCTTAGCGTCCGCAGTTTTAAAATCAACTCACGTCATGATAGTAAAGCGCTAGTTCCTGCAACACAAACTTCTCAAACAAAACTGCTCCAGCCTGTCGACATTGTGCACGAGCCTTGTTCAGATATTGTAATTGTTCTAAACAGTTGATATTCAAATTGCAGCCTGAACGATTACAACCGAAACATTGTTTACCGTTCCTATTTCCCGTATGGCAGTGAGCTTCGGCAAGAGCGATGGACAGAATGGCATTCTCAAGAATCGAGCAGCTATTTGTGATATCTTTACGGCTGTCGAGCAAGCTTTTCTTCGCCATTTCATAATCACCGCTCATCATCTGCGAACTATAGAAGTTATAAATAAATAAATAAATAAATAAATAAATAAATAAATAAATAAATAAATAAATAAATAAATAAATAAATAAATAAATAAATAAATAAATAAATAAATAAATAAATAAATAAATAAATAAGGAGCGCTCGCATCCTACGAATGTGCAGCGTTTATTTCAAGCTTCTGCAGTGCCCCCTCGCGATGCTTCTACGTCATGAAACACCACCGCGACTTCCAGCAACCAAATACCGCGAACTTTGTCGCGGGTTGAGAGCGACCAATGTGCGAGGCGAGAACAAACCTGCCGCTGATTCTACTGTAGATCCGTACTGTGCGTAGAGATGATGTAGCATGATATGAGCTATGTAGCTGAGAATTATGAGAACGCCAGTAGCATGCTATCCATTTGTATTACTTACAAAGCGATTTTCACAAATGTTGTTAGAACCTGTCAACCATTTGTTTTGCCTGCCTACACTCTCGCCGCAGACGATTCCCTCTACCACCACAAGCCATGGCACCTTCACAAAAGCTTCTCCACAAATAGGGCGGCCACCTTTTAGGCGCTACGGGCGCTACGGGCGAGTCCTCCGCTGCAAATGTGCCACTTCTCAATCCATTAAAAACCTAGCCTCTCTTCACGGCAGCAGACTTCCCCCATCTTCCATCCAATATACCGGACCACCTGTTACTGAACCACGATCAGGGCTGCCTGTCCCCTGTGATGGCTGGGAAAGGCGCAGCACTGGACTACGTGTAACTGATTTGTAGGAACTGGGTTTGACTGACAAGTGAGGACTACGTGATTGGTCTGATGTACTCGTTAGTAGCGTTATCCAACGCGCTGTCGAGAGGACGATGCTAGGAGTAACCCTATACACGCAAGTGCAGAGGGGAATCCGGAGTTCCGAACTACGCCAACGATCGAAGATCAGGGACGCTGCCGTTTTCGCCAAGGAATCGAAGATAAGGTGGGCCGGACACGTCATGCGATTTTGCGATGACCGTTGGACCAGAGCGGTTACCGACTGGATCCCTCGGGACGTCAAACGAACACCTGGACGACCGCCGGCCCGATGGTCAGACTTCTTCAGCTCTGAACGAAAGGAATGAAGGACTTCGTGTCCCTCGAGCGAGGAGGATCCACTGGACAACTCTGCACGCGACAGGGACGAATGGAGACGTTGCTGGCGCCCGCTCGAGCAAATCGATGATCAACGGGACGACAGGTGATACAGGTGATACCAGATGAGAAATGTTACGTTGTAATGTTGAAAGCACACTTTTTGGAGGAACTTCATTTTAATAGAAGTATGAAGAGGTTTTATTGAATGCTTTATAGCCATGTCGTTTGCAATGGGGAAAACGTTCGAATTTCAGTGAGGAGCCTGAATGTCGCGGAGGTCTCGTACAGGAACGAATCTCATGCGTGAATCTGCATTAACTAGGATCGGATTTACTCATTAAAACAGAGTTGGAAGGTTGACCAAGATCAAAAGGTGAACAGTAACTTTGAAACTGCTTAGCAACTATAGCTAATGTCCATGGACCCACTCGATTATCTTTCTGAGCTTCTCAACTGTGAGAATAAGAAACTGCGCAGACTGCGGGGAAAAGAGTAGCGGCAAGAGATGCTTTCCACCCATTGAGTGGAGATTAATTACATAGACCTGGGGTGAATCAACAGTGGGCAATGGGAAAACTCTGGGAAGTGCCACACATTCTGTACTTCCATTTGGAGCTCTAGGGTCACCTGAAGCGGGCATTTATACCTGCGCGGGCCATCGAATGTACAGTTCAAAAGCAACTATCTTTACACAAAAGTATGACAGCAACCATCTACAGAGAGAGAGTGGGTCAACCCTATGTTGCTACAAGTAGCAACGGGGGGTCGTATTTTGATGAGTTTGTAGAGGGGGGGGGGTCGTACTTGCTTCGGATTGTAAGAAGTTGCATGAGATGAGTGGGGAGTGGCGGGCGGGAAAATTTGCCGTTTCAGCGCGCGTATATACCCCAGAAAAGAGTAGAAGTGGGGTTAAATTGCGTGAAATTCGAAATTACTGAGAATTCTTGATAGGATTTTCTTACGGTTTACAGACTTGACTCAACCCCCCCCCCCCCCGCTCGACGGGATTTTTGGAGGAAAAAGTGGGCGGGGTTCCTGATGGAAGTGGGAGATGGTGGAGGTAGGGAAAAGGGGGTCGTATCAAATCCACCTTGGGGGAGGGGGGTCGTAAAAAATTTTCGAAAAGTAGCAACGATAGGACCGACCCTGCCCAGAGCAATAGGGAAACAGGGACACACCCCTGCGCAGACCTAAATATCGGAATGGGTGAACTCCTTAGCCCACTCAGCTTAGTTTGGGGGGGATTGTTGTCAGCTGGAAACATCGTCGAGCCCTGGTTCTATCCCTAGCCACGCATCAACGTGCGCACTCTAAAAGTTTCAAGTAGCTCTCATAGAAAAGGCTGAGGGCTAGGCGCGCACGATTGGAGGATAAGAATTCGTGAGAGAGGTATGATTTGACTCACTGAACCATGCGAAACGCCTTGTTCGTCAGGCCAGCGACTTCAGGACGCATTATGCAACCACAGAAAGCAATAGGATACATTCGATAGATACTGCCAGAAGTTGTCAGAACAACTCTAACATTTGTCTCTCTCTCTCCCCAGGGCTCTATCCCACCTTTCACCAGTTACATTCGAAAAGACGGGCTATTGACCCCGAGTGGAGGGCTCAGGGTTGATCTCGCGCGATTATCATCAAGAACCCGGAACGGCAGCGTGTGGTACGCCGCGCCGCTCGCTGGGCGATAGCAGTTGTCAGCGAGAAATTCATAGAATCACTGGGTTTGCCCAAGATCTCACCTTGGACCACACCTCATCGCTTTCGTAGAGCCATTGCGGCGATTGTTCCGTTCGTTCAACTCTCAACAGCTTCTTCCACGCGACCGCCTTGCCGAGAATTTCGGATCGGCGCAGCACTCAACGGCACTCCGGCACCAACCAACATTGCTCAGACTGCACAGCTCGAAGTCTGAAGGTTTCTGGATAAGACGCCATGCCCAGAGAAATGAAAAAAGGGAGAATGAAATATTTATGCGTTATACCCTCATTCCGTGACACTTGTGCTTGGAGTCTCATATTTAGTGTAAATCGATTCCAGGAGATTTCGTGCAGCAGAGAGCTCATTTTGTGCCGCTAGAAGTATTGCTTTCCTAAAAGATTACATAAAGAGAAGTCCGAAATATATTAAGACTCAACAAAGAAGTACGGTAGATCCATAGTGCGAGCGTTGGGGCGCGCTCACCATGAGGGCAGTGGATGGGCAGTTCCTTAGCCACAAAGGCGGCGCGAGGCAGTATGTAGGTATAGCTGCTCCTATACTTGGCGAACAGCTGACGCCCGCTGCCCAGTAAAGATTTGCCAAGTGTGAGTGTTTGTCTGAGAGGCGCAGGATGGCGGAGAAAAAGAGAGAAATAGAGGCTTTACGCGAGTCTCTTCACTCTGCCATCTTTTTTTTGAACTCCTGGGAGCCGTCAGAGAGTGCAGTAGCTTTGATCCAGCCACGATAGACTTCTTAAATGACTCTCGTCGAAGATGCTTACCGTAATGCTGCTTCAGCAGCATCCAGTGTTTCAATATCCTCCAAAACTGGCGTGCACTTATCCCATTGCCCACGTAAAATCGTTGTGTCAAACAGGATGATTCTATCACAGAGATTCACATATTGTGCAGCCTGAAATGACAACTGTCTAGTGCAGGAGAGAGGCACTGACTTAACACAATAATGGTGAGCGCGCGGTTGTAGAGCGGTCGCCTGAACTCGATTAAGTCCACAGTCCTTCTACGATCGCATTATGTACTGAGAACACTATCGTCGCGCGGGAGACGGTCAATTCAATCGTCGGCTAATGAGGTCACGCCGCTCACGCGGCGAGAATCGTCGCGCGCGGCAGTTGTGCGGCGATTTCTGTGTGGACCTTTTCTTATCCATCCATGTCCATAAGTTGGCTAGGTGACTGATAAGACCAGAGTGCTGGACAAGAAACTGCATTTCAAGGGTTAGGTGATTCCTATTCCATGTTTTATGACTGAAAACTTCATCTAATCTTACATTCCCCAATGTTTGGATGCTGAGTTCTTTGCAAATTCGCCGCGATATTCGCTGGCTGCGGCGGCTGGCGCGGCGACCTACTTACTGCCACGATTGAATAGTCACGCACCCGCAAGTT